GGACACCTAGTCCCTAATTGAGAGTTCAAGTGTTAGAATTTGGACCGTAGTTGGAGCAGTGTGAAGAAGGCCCCGGAATGGAATTTCGTCGATTCCGTTAGCTCTATTAGGTGTTTTTGGGCTTAGGGGCGTGTCCGGATTGTGTTTTGGAGGTCCGTAGCTTATTTAGGCTTGAAATGGCGAAAATTCAATTTTTTGAGTTTCGCGCCGATAGTGGAATTTTTTATATCGGGGTCAGAATCCGATTCCGGAAGTTGGAGTAGGTCCGTAGTGTTGAATATGACTTGTGTGCAAAATTTGGGGTCAATCGAACATGGTTTGGTTGGTTTTGGCATCAGTTGTAGAATGTTGGAATTTCAAGTTCATTAAGTTTGGATTGGAGGGTGATTCGTGGTTTTAGCGTTGTTTGATGTGATTTGAGGGCTCGAATCAGTTCGTATGATATTTTAGGATTGGTTGGTATGTTTGGTTGAGGTCCCGGGGGCCTCGGGTGAGTTTCGGATGCTTGACTGATGAAAATTCGGACTTAGGCATTTTCTGATGTTGCTGAACCTGTTATAATCATACCTGCGGATATGGGATCGCAGGTGCGGTGCCGCAGGAGCGGCTGAGGGGACCGCAGAAGTGGAATTGGACTTAGGCATCAGGAACCGCAGGTACGGCCGTGGGACCGCAGATGCGGAACCACAGAAGCGGCCCCAGCCCGGTTAAGTGACTTTCGCACCTGCGATGGTTTTCCCACAGGTGCGGGACCGCAGAAGCGGCCCCCTGACCGCAGATGCGGAAATCACTGGGCAGAAAAGAGGAATTCGAGGGTTTAAGATTTCATAACACAAAATTTAATTTGGAACTCGGTGGGAGGCGATTTCTTGAGGGATTTTGAAGGAGAGCTATTGGGTAACAAATTCTAACTCTATTTTGGATCATATACATAAATCTATTGTTGTTTTCCTCATTTAATTAAGGAATTTCGGGGTGGAAGTTTGGAAATAGCGGAAAAAGTTCCCCAAGTGAAAATCTGAAGTCTGAATAGAAATTTGATGTCGGATTGGGATGATTTTTATACGAGTGAACTCGTGAGTGAATGGGTGTTCGTAATTTGTGATTTTTACCCGATTCTGAGACGTGGGCCCGGGAGGATTTTTGGGCATTTTCCTATTTTCTCGCCTTAGCTTTTAATTCATTAGCTAAATTAGTTGCTTGTAGCTATATTTACGTTATGTAAATGATTTGTTTAGATTTGGGCCACTCGGAGTTGGATACTCGTGGCAAGAGCGTGATATCGGATTGATTTGAGCTTGGTTTGAGGTAAGTGGCTTGCCTAACCTTTTGTGGGGGAACTCCCCTTAGGATTTTGGTACTGTCGTTATATGAATGTCGTGTACGTGAGGTGACGAGTGCGTACACGTGCTAATTATTGAAAGACCTCGTTTTCATTAAGTAATTAATTGTGTTTTCCTTTAATTGAGTAATACTAGTATACGTAGCCTCCTGTTTAGCTTTGAAAATGCATGCTTATGTGCCTTAACTGTCTTATCTGCTTTAACTGCTTTACCTGGATTCTGTGTAGCATGTTTAGAGTAAGAATTTCCTGTCTTCTTTGCTACGAATTTGATTAGAACTGTAGATCTTTCCTAGTTGGAACTGTTGTGTATATTGAATGAGTTGTGCATTTATTTTGGGACAACAGAACGGTATTTCGGGAGATCCCCCTATATGTTTATGTTTGGGACTACGGGACGGTATCCCGAGAGATCCCTCTGTACTGGATATTTACTTTGGGACTACGGAATGATATTCCGGGAGATCCCCCTACACATTTATGATTTGGACTACGGGACGGTATCCCGGGAGATCCTCTGTACATTTACGTTTGGGGCTACGGGATGGTATCCCGAGAGATCCCCTGTTGCTATTTCTGTGTACTGAGTTATTTCTTCCTGTGATTTTGTTTTCATTGATTGTTAGCATTTTAACTCTACTGTGATATTTCATACTGTTTTATCTTATTATATGTATAAACCAGTAGAGCCCTGACCTGATCTCGTCACTACTCGACCGAGGTTAGGCTTGGCACTTACTGGGTACCGCTGTGCTGTACTCATGCCCTTTCCTGCACATGTTTTTCGTGTGCGGATCTAGGTTCTTCTTCTCAGCCATACTTCCAGTGAGGCGAGGTGATCCAGAGACTTCGAGGTATATCTGCCGCGTCCGCAGACCTAGAAATCCCTCTCTATTCTCCCTTTAGTTATAGATTTCCTGTATTTTCTTCGTTATTAGACTTCTGGAGTTAGAAACACTATGTACTTGTTTAGCTTGTGATTCATAAGATTCCGAGTTTTGGGAGTGCTATTTTCAGTTCGAGAGTGGCGTTATTGTATATGCCGAGCGACATTTTAAACTCCTTTATTATATTGACCTGTTAATTGTTGGTTTTGTGTCTTTATTTTTTTTTCGTAAATTGTTAGGCTTACCTAGTCGTAGAGACTAGGTGCCGTAACGATAGTTCACGGAGGGAGAACTTGGGTCGTGGCACTTTGTCTCAATTATAGTATTGTAATCAAGCACATCACTTTTTAAAATAAGAAATCTATATGCATCACTGTGTTCAGCATATCCAATAAGCATGCAATCAGCAGTTTTAGAACCTATTTTTCTCTTTGTAGGTTCAGGCAAAAGAACGTTAGCAAGGCATCCCCACACTTTTAAATATTTCAAGTTAGGTTTATAACCCTTCCACAATTCATACAGAGTTTTGCCAGTTCTTCAATGTGGTATTCTATTTTGTAGGTGACATTCAGATAATATAGCTTCACCCCACAAAATATCAGGAGCATTAGAACTAACTAACATGGAGTTCATCATCTCTTTCAATGTTCAATTTTTTCTTTCAGCTACTCCATTTGACTCAGGTGAATAAGGCAGAGTTACTTCATGAATAATTCCATTCTTTTCATAAAAATTATTTAAAGATAAATATTCTCCACCTCTATCAGATCTAATTCTCTTGATTTTCTACTAAGTTAATTTTCAACCTTAGTGTAATAAGAAATAAAAGCATTAAAAGTATCATCTTTATTTCTAAACAAAATCAACTTAGTATATCTAGAAAAACCATCAATAAAAGTAACATAATATATTTTACCACCTCTAGTCATAGTCTGCTTTAAATTACCTAAATCAGTGTGAATCAAGGAAAATAATTCAGTTTCTCTATTTGTGAAAAAATAAGTCTTTCTAGTACTTTTAGCTTCGACACATATTTTACACTTATTAATAATATATGAGTCTAAACCAGATATTAATCCTAGCTCCTATGTTTTCTTTATATACGCGACATTAACATGTCCTAGTCTAGCATGCCATGAAGAAATAAACTCAACCATGTAAGTAGAAGAAGATGCATTTTTATTGCAAGTATTAGAAATATTAAGCATGAATAAACCATGGTTACAATATTCATTGCCCACAAAAATATTATTTTTGGTCATTACAACATTATTATCCTCGAAAGAAACCTTCACTCCAACTTTTTCTAATAATCCCACAGAAACCAAATTGGTTTGGATATTAGGAACATGCAATACATCACTCAATGCTAGAGTTTTACCAGATGTGAGTTTGAGAAGAATTTTTCCTTTCCCAAGAACGCGAGTTATTCTTGAGTCACCAAGATAAATAGTTTCTTCTCCTTCCTCAACTTGGTTGTAAGACAAAAATTCATTTTTGTCTGCACAAATATGCCTAGTAGCACCAGAGTCTATCACCCAATCTCTCACATTGCCCACATTATTTATTTCGAAAATGACCGCAACAATTATAATATCCGCTTTAGTCAAATTTAATTTTGACTTAGCGAGATTATCATTTATCCCAACTCTTCTCTTGCATTGATGTGCATTTTTCTTGAAGGTTTTAATTTTAGCATTGGATATGTAACCATGTCTATTTACATACCTGTATTTTGATATTAGTGTCTGCCAAAGTTGTGGATGCAATAACGTATTTGCAACACCATGGGTATCTGGCAGGACAGATAGAACAGTAGCAGCGGAGACAACACCAAAATTGGTAGCACCATCAAAAATTTTCGCAGTAGTATTACTTGCCTTAGTTTCTGAGATTGTAGGGAAATGACACCGAAAAATAACAATAATAATACTGCAATAATATTATTTGTAAGCAGATACACGAATTGGCTTGAGTCGTGTTAGGCACTGTCCTAAGAAACTATTTCAGCAGTGTGAAATGTTTCCCCGGGATTAAACAATAAGCCCATCTCTATTTATTTAGAGGATACAGGAATCAGCAAAATCAAAAATTACAAACCCAGCTAGCTAGTAGGAAAAGTAAATAAGAAAGGAAACAACTAATATTTAATATAGGACAACTAAGGAAGAAGAGAGGCGTGAAAGGAAATGAAAGACTTGATATTTTTTTATATCAAATTGGCAGAAGGAAAGTCCTTTTTATAGGCAAAAAACTTAAGGCTTTTCTTGTTATTTTTCAAGTTTAATTGTCAAAAACTTGCATGCATCTTGCCACCACATGCCATCAATTGGCATTATTTTGTTGTTTGAAGGACACATGGTCAAAATGAGACATTTGTCGAAAAGAAGCTTTGAAATACTGCCACATGTACTACGAGTGAAGAACTTCAAACCCGATCTATATGAAGTTTGCACTTCGACAACTTGAGACGCCAATTTTTGAAACTTTAGATGCATATGTATAAAGTGTATTCCAAAATTATATTGGATATATTAGCCCTTCGCCCACCAGATATTATAGCTTAGCAAAAACTATGAACTCCCTGCCGATATGTTGATAGCGACAACAAAAATAGTAGTAGTAACATTAATGATAATGAATTTTAAAATTGCATATATTATTGAAACAAGTAAAAAAGTGTTTCTGCTTCCAAAAAATATTTAATAAGATGAACAAGAAAATATGACACACGAATCAACCCTAATTTTATTTTTTCCAATATAGTGGACCTAGAAGCCTCTGCCCTTGCGGTTCATGGAAGTAAGAATGGTTAGTAAAGCCACTGTTACAAATCCTGCCAGCAGCAGACCACTGGCAATATAACCCCTCTCAATGGTATCTCCTCTTTTGATATCTTTGAATTCAAAACTGACGCCAAAACCCAAACCAATACTACTTGCCAAGAAAAAGGCTACCACCTGCCAATTTCATTCAGCACTTTGTAAAACTGTTAAGGCGACAATGAAAGCGTGAAAGTAATATTAAACATATGAAACACGTGTCATGTAATTGGGTTAGTGTAAAGCTTTTACGATGAAATAGAAGGATAATTTAACAAGTCAATTTTGAAGGGAAGATCTTCTGAAGAAGAAGACCTTATCTCCGTAGAAATCAAACATTGGCAGAAACTGGCCCCTAATCAATCTCTTCTCTTTGGCGGCATAATACATTGCGAAAGGCAGTTGAATCAATGAGTATAAAATTCCACCTGCTGCAGCAGCTAAGACATACCTGAAATAATTAATGGTGCAAAAATGGATTTTATTGTCGTACTAATTTTACATCCAAAAAAAAAAAATTTGAAAAACTAACCTGTAACTCTTGATACCGCGAAATTGGGTTTTGAGGCCGCCACTGATCATGCTGATCACGATAATTGCCAGGGAAGCAGCACAGAACAAGAGAGTAAAAATCCTAAGTGCAAGGATCGAGTTGATTATACCCCTTGATACTGCCATTCTTCCCCTTGGTTTTCCTCTTTCTTGGCTCCTACAAAACAATTCTCAAGTTCCAAGTGCTCATTAGGCATATCTCCAGCTGTTCCTTTTATACATTTACGGAACTTAATTATAAAAAATGACTCAGAAATTGATCGATATAGACAAAGACCTTGTGTCTGAATTATAGCTAGTTTAAGTTCATTGTAGCCGGACGAGAATCTCACAGCAGAACACAATCCTTTTCAGAGTTAAACTGCCGGTTTATTGCATTAAATGTAATGGTATAATATTTGAACACAATCCATGAAAATATCTGAACAAAGATAGGACGGTTTTCACGAGGAAATACAAAACACATATTCTACTTGTTGTTTCCTACATACTTCTATTGTTAGTAAAAAAAAAAAAATTTAAAATAAAGGAAAAGATAAACAGGAAAATGCATGGTAGACTTTGATTGCATCAGGGTTGTCCTTTATAAATAGACGACATTCCTTTGTATTTGCTACTACATTCGGCGCGATTTAAAATTTGCACATGAAGCAAGCCAATTGAACTGGTAAGACATAAATTTGATTTGAGGAATTTGTAAAGAGAAGGTAAAGCTTAGTTTCTTCTTATTAGATGAAATCGGAATGATATAATACAAAAGAGGGTCAAAGGCCATGATTGTTTTTACATTCAGACTGAGTAAACATACTGATTACCCTTAAAATTGGATAACAATTTAACTTAAAATGTGGTTTTAAGGATACGTGATTTCACCTAATACCAATTGATAAATGTAAAGAGTAATAATAGAAATTAACAATAACATAAAGCAAACCAGTGTTTGAACAAAATTCAACCATCGAGCTTGAATACCCTCGAACTAATTTGTACAAGAATAGTTAAAATATACCAAGCTGATGAACAAGGATATGAACTATATAAAAAGCGTTATATCGATTTGATATCTCAGAGTGTAAGGTGCTTACAAAATGATTAGGACCCTCTTTATAGAGTAGAGGAATTCTATCTATGGTGCAATTCTAATTACGGAAGTAAATCCTATGATTAGCCTAAACAACTTCCTTTGATTTGATCTGTTCCGAGATTCCTGCCACGATCTTCAACCGGTCGAGGATATCTCGCATTCTTGTTATTGTGCTTTGCTCGAAGTCTGCCCTGTTTGGTCTCGATCGCTGCCGGCCTTGATCTCGACAGGCACCTCGATTTTCGAACTCGGTACCTTGTTCTCATGTTTCAATCTGATCCACCACGAGGCTGACCCTCGATGCAACTCTTTGATCTCGATCAAATAGTAAAATTGGGTAGGCCCGATTTTAACCGTATACATATAGTCCCCTCGTTTCTTAGAATGTAATGAGAAGAAATGAATTGAGCCTTCGATTATGTACTTCGACTTGTCATAACGTCATCCTCATGATGTAAATGGTGGAAGTGATTGAAACGTCCCGCCGATACAGTTCCCTAAGTCATTAATGGGCGTCAGTTGATGGTCAGCCACCAGTGCCATTGAACCGTCATCTTCATCCTGTAAATGTGCTTTCCTTCTCTTTGCCAAACTTTACTCTTGATCTCTGCTCTAATCTTCAAGCTTTTTACATCCTTTAAGCTTTTCCATTCTGCATAACTTCTAGGTTTCGTTGTCAACCTTCCCTCAAAATGCCGAGCCTTATTCTCTTCTTCTTTTTTTAAACTTATACAAAAATGGCAAAGACGTCAAAAACTTTTCCCCAAAAGGAAAAAGCTTCTTCATCGCGGCAAGCCGATGATAAAACACCGGTGGAGCCACGCCCCGAGGAGTGTGTTCCCGGGGGGTGTGAACTTACTTCCGACTTCAAAGTCGAGAAAACTCGTCGGTCCCTGGTCGATGCGAGCCAATGTCGAGATAAATATGCTCGATAAATGAGCGTGATCTTGAGCAGGTGAAGAAAGACTGCCATTGGGAAGATAAAGAGGTGGTGATTCCGGCCCCCGAAGAAGACATTACTACTCATGTGAAAGGGTTTCTGAGTGTTTACACTTACCCTTTCACCACTACTAAAAAATCAGGTTTAGCGACGGACAAATTCTATAGCTAAACAGAAAAATCCGTCGCTAATCTCATTTAGCGACGGATTAGCAACGGAGTATCAATAAATTCTGTTAGCCATGAGCGTTTTAGCGACAGATTAGCGATGACGTTCGTAGCTAATTCCAATTTTTTTTGTAGTGCACGCTGGGCCCTGTCGATCCTGTCATCATAGAATTTTTGGCGCCAATACCAAATAACCCTAGGTCAGATCCTTCCCTCCTTTTGGCGGATTTTCATTCTGCTCTGATTCTTCGTGAGCAAAGTCGAAGGGATGTCTTTCACCCTCGACCATCTTATCAGGCTGTACAGCCCCCGTCTCTATCGAGGCGGGTTAATAAGGCTTCAGCGTCGGGCTACCAAGGTGTTGTTCTCAAGCATAGACGAGGACAAGGATCGAGGGCGGATGGGCTGGTTTGTTCGAGTGAAGACTTCCGACCTAATCCCGGCCGAGAAGATGCCATTTCCCCAGAAATGGAATATGATGCGTAAGTATAATCCCACCTATAGCTTTCATTTATTGTTTTGTTTCCTTTGCTTTTTCTCATCGATATCCCTTCCTATCATGTAGCGGTCTCTTGGATGCCCGGTGCAATTCCTAACCTTGAGAGCTGGGTTTGGGACCTGGCTTCGACCTTTTCGTACGCTGAGCGCTCATGGCGTGATTTGGCAAAGGGCCAATGGGAGGCATAAAATCATGGTAAGCCTTTTTTCACGTACTTGATGATTTTCGCTGAAATGTTTCTTTTCATACTCATTTGGTTTCCTTTCATACAGGCCTCAAAGAAAATGCTGTTATGAGGCCCCCATCCGGGGAGGAAGAAAATCCTCCCCAATCGTCTGCTCCAAAACAGAATAAAGTGTGGAAAAGGAAAGAGGCTTTGAACTCTACAAACCTGGATGAGCAAAAGTCTAAAAATAGGCGAATCCGCAAGGGGAATGTTATCCCTTTGTCGATGGATTCAGTCCTCAGGATACAAGATGAGCCTGAAGAGGGTGAACAAGAAGAAGAAAAAAAAGATGATTTAGGACTGGTAGCTCGTACTCGAGCTAGAACCGGGGCTAGGAAGGCTTTGGAGCCAATGGAGACCGATATTGACCGGTCTAAGCTCGATGAGGTTGAGGAGGATGCTTCGGCCCAAGTCCCCACGTAGAAAGGCTTTTGCCTGGGGGCGAAGTGGCCGTTGAAGAGGTAGTAGGTGCCGAGCCCGAGGCTCTTCGAGATGAAGCGAAAGCCCCAAGCGACCCACTTGGGGCAATTGAAATTTGAGATGCCCCGTCATTTCCTTCGTTTTCCGAGGAGACGATTCAGGAGGCCCGGAACATGAAGGCTCCTTCCATATAAGGAGCCCACTGAGGGGAGGACCTTTTCTGTGACTGCTTTACTGGGATCAACGACATCCCTGGCTCAGGCGACTTGGAGACGTTAAGGAAAGATTCGGGTGGAGCGCGGAGTCTCTTAAATGAGGCACAGTAGGCTCTTAATCGGGTAAGCTTTAATTCCCTTCGTCGATATCATACTTGTGTTTTTTCCCTTCTTTGTCTAATTCCTTTTCTTCTATATATGTAGGCCTTGGCGCTTTATCAAGAGGCATTCTCCAAATCTCGGGCGGAACTAAGTCGGTATGAGACCGACATTCAAAGGCTTACCGAGGAGAAGAATGCCTATGAACTTCTTAGTGGGCGAAAAGAAGAGGAAATTAAAGGCCTCCGAGCTGAACTGGCAGCGGCTCAGAAAGAACAGAATGAATTGACCGAGAAAGTAAATAAAGTTTTAGAAGCTCATGGCCTCAGTTCGGGATTGGCAGCTAACAATTTGATCTCATAGGGCCAGCAACTGCACGAGACGATTGGACAACTCCGTAGAGAGGTAGATGTGGTGAAGGCGAAAACCATAGCATGGAAGCAAAATATGGACCACCTTGCCTCAGAGAAAGAGACTGTTCAAGCTCAATTAACCTCGGCTGAAAACCAGCTCCATGCTATGAAAGAAAAGAACTTTGCACAAGCCAAGAAAATCGAGGAGCTCCAGGCTCGGTTGGTCACGGATCTTGTAGTGGCGAAATCCGAGGCTGAAAAGGCTAAGGCCGATGTTGAGGCAATCGCGACCGTTTACCGATCTGATGCCGAAGCCGCTCAAGCTCGAGCAAAGGAAGTCACTAATACTACTCAGACTCGAGCATACTGGGCCGCCCAGCTTGCCAAGTGTCAGTCTCGAAGAGAGACTCTTGAGGAGATTCGTGCTCGTGGCTTTAACCTTGCTGTCGAGATCGAGAATGCGAAGGAGCTTGAGGCTGAAGCTAGAACGTTGCTTTCTTCTGATGATGATGATTCCAGGAGCGTGAGTGGATCTGAGAGCGGAGGAGTTCCCAATGGCGAGGATGTAACTCCCGAGGAAAATTAGGCACTTAGGATTTTTCTTTTTTGAATTTTTGTGTAGGACCCTGATCAGTCCTTGTAAATATATTCATATGTATAAAAAATCTCTTTGCTTTTTGACTTGTCTTTATTTCAATTTCTACCTTGTGAAAAATCTGTTTCGTTCATGCCTTGTTCATGAGTACAAGTCTTAGGCAATTTGGTCGAAGTCAGACTAATGTAGTCTTTATAATCCAGTGAATACTTGTTCGAACTCGAAATAGGATGACCCTTAGGTTTTGGTTGAGTGAGGTTGACTTCTTGAACTCAAAAATGATATGGCCCTTAGGATCTTGAATTAGGCCGATATGGCCTTAAAAGAATGGCTTTTTTCCCTTTTCGGCTTATAAAGTTAATCATATAAAAATTTGTTGTGCCTTAGCACGAGATAAATTTGTACCCATTAGGGTTTTCGAGGGTTAGTGTTATCGAAACCCTTTGCTTCGTTATACCTTAGCATGAAATAAGCTTGTTCGGTAGTTCGAACAATTCGGTACCCCTTAGGGTTTTTGAGGGTTGATGT